AAGATTTCTGAAAGAACCTACGAAAGATCTTTCTTTACAACCCAATAATGCCATCAGACACTTGACGAATGTCGATGGAAATTACGATGAATTTAGAATGGAGTTTCCCGAACAAAACTAACATTCACTGTTAAAATTTAGCTTGTTCAAGAAAAAGCTTCCATCTTGCTCCTTCAAGTTTTTCTGTCACTATGGTTGAAGTTGATCATCGATTTGACACCATAAACTAATAGAAAGTCCAATTAGTGTTCTTTCATATGAAAGTTCTTTCGAAAATCTAAGTAGTTTATGGCCAGCTTAAGATAACTACACACTGTAGATATACATCTGTAAGGTTGTAGGCACAGGAGTGCTTAGGCACACAGTCTCATTCCAGAAAGTGCCCTGCTATGTTTCAGAAGGAATTCAAAGCAAAAAGTAAATATGTCAGGGTAATGCTTAAGCACTATTAAAGGCATGTTAAACGATGATAAAAAAATAAAAACATGGTAAGGTTGGCTCAGCACCTTGTTTACATGTCTGTTTTTGTTCTGTGGCTTCTTTCAATCCATGCAGTGAAAAATGTTGCCTCTCAGAATCCTGCCCTTGAGTGGCACTGTCCCCTTAGAAGGACCCATGGAGCCATCTGTGCGTGCTCCCGGCTCGATGCATGGACTAGTTGTTTTACTTGCAGTGAAGATTACGGCCATGGAGGCAAGCCACTCCCCTGCTCCTCCCTTCAGCTGCTGGAACATGTGCTGTGCTTGCTTTATGGTGCATGTGAAGGACACCTGGACAACCCAGAAGTGTGAGGGAAGCAGCATTGTGGACCTTAAGCTGCTGGCGGTGAGCAGGTAGAGTAATTAGATGTGTACTTGTTTAAGGAAAAAATGTGCTGGACATTAGCCAGTACATTAAAAAAAGGCAAGGGGTTAAATACTACTTTAACATTTCTAGATGTTGCCTATATGATAGCAAATTTTAACTTGAGCTCAGGTAATATATAAATATAAGACAAATATCAAAGGAAGCCTCTTTATGGGCTGTAATCATTTAGATATTGTTATAAAAACTACTAGAGATTAGTGACAAGAAATCGAGGCCGCATGGAAGTACCGTATATACTCGCGTATAAGCTCCTGACCATTGGACCACGCTGACTCGAGTATAAGCCGAGGGGGGCACTTTTCAGCAAAAAAAATGGGCTGAAAATCTCGGCTTATACTCGAGTATATACAGTATTTTCTTTTATTCTGAATAGTAAATATATTAAAATTATGCTAACGAGAAAATAAGTGGTACTAAAGCTCTCGCAATATCAAGCTACAGTAGATAACGGGAGAAGATTAAAGCTTAACTCCAGTAGAGCAGCTAAATTCAAGCGTACAGGTAGGCCAAAAAAAATGAAAAGGACCAGCTGCAGTTTCCATACAGATTTAGCCCTCATTCACACCTGAGCGACATAAAATCTGCACGGTTTTAGCGCATTTGGTGTAGCACGTGTTTGCACGTTTTCCGCACGTACATTAAGTTGCGTTTTTGTGAGCAGATTGTGACACATTGATGTAAATGGGTTAATGCACAAAAACGCAGCAAACATGCATAATCTGCCAGAAAGAAGCTCATGTACTTTCTTTTTTTGCAGAGTCGGGCGTTTTACTACAGGCAACAAAACGCTCAGATGTCAACAAGGCAAAAGAAATGAATGGGAATTTTTTTTTGGGGGGGGGGGATGGGGGGCGTTCTTAATTTTTTTCTCAAGCAGAAAAAGAGCTACAAAACGCTAGGTGTGAATGAGGGCTTGGGAGTAAAAGAAAGAAACCCTGCACAAGACATCCAAGCACTGTCCATATGTCTATGCAAATGCATGGGCAGTAAGAGTTTTGATGGAAAAGCCTTAGGCTCCATTCACACCTAAATTCGGCTGGGCGTATTCGGCTGTACAGATATGCGCAGAGCCGCTCTAAACAGAAAATACAATGCACTTCAATGTGCATCGCTCAGACCATTGTGGGGTGGGCGCGGTATGTAACCGCGCGGCCCCCGAAATATTTACTAGCCGCAAACAAGCGGCATCGGTGCAGATTGAAAACTATTAGTATTTTTGTCCAACACGAACTTCTGTACGAAAAACCGTGCGGTTACCGCAACGCTATGTTCAAATGCAGCCTCAATCTACTCTTCAAACTGATCAACAAATGCATGTGAACCAGACATGTTGAAGGAAAAGTTCTCTCATCTTCATAGCAAAGAAAATGAACAACAATTGGTCGGAGAGGGATTTCAGGAATGTGAGAAAATCTCTACCAAGCATGAGCACTTCTGACATTACAAAATGCTTCTTATTGTTTTGCTGTTCACCCCTAATTGTGAGGCTAGAATGTGTTGATTAACCTGCTTTTACCAAGTTGTTGCTATGGCTTTTTTCACACTAATGAGATTTCCTTAATCATAAATTAATTATATTGAATACAAAAAATAAGTAATCTCAGCACTAATCTGGACAATCAACATTTCTGGGTGCGCTTTGGTTGGCTAGAACCCCACTTTCTCTAGTAAGGCACAGGAGTATAATCTGCTGAGACTCGAAATGGGGTCCCACAATTTTTTTTTTAAGGCCCCCTGGTAATTATTTACAACATTCCTTCTATTGGCTCATTGTTTCAGGGCCCAAAAACAAATGCAATTGACTAGTGTCCAAAACAAAAATAGTGTAATATTTAATGTTAGAACTAACAGAGTAACAGAGTAAATGCATTTGGAAATAATTGTGCAAGCATAAAGCATTCTCTTCGATCATGTCTGCATAACGCAGGGCTGTCTGTGAGTGCCCAGCCACATTGTGATCTACCTCCCAGGTAGTGCTGGGTACTCAGAGGGTGAAATCTGGGACTGCAGAAGACAGAAGCATTGGCAGCTGGAACATCTCAGCAGGTTTTTCCTGACCTTCACTTTTGCTGACTGCATTGGCTTTTGTTACACTTACCAGGACCAGAGCAACTAGCGGCAGACGGCATTCCCTCACATCCAATTACAATCTCTGCTAGACAAAAGCAGCTCCTTGCTGCATCAGTATTAACACTAGCAGGAGCATTCCAACTGCACCTAATGTACAATCATAATGCGTAGTGATTCTTAATCAGATTAGGCACTGATGGTTATTACTCGCTCAGAGACCTGACGTCTTGCTTCCACAATACGGCTGCTTAATGGAGCTAATGGTGTGGGCCTGCTTAACCCTTTCTCCTCCTAGATAAGTATGGGCTGTTATCTATATATTGACTGATCCGTGAAACACTGCACAACACCAGAATAACATACTCGGTTAATAAAATACAAATCACATACATAATGAATAAGCGCTACATGTCAAAGAGAAGTCCCTACTGTTTGTCACAGGCTATATGCAGTATATGTATGCAAGAGTGTGTAGACATGCATAATATATACATTCACATATACTTCTCTCACAATATAGATATACATGCAATATATATTATATAGACAAACACATGCAATGTTTGTCATCCTTAAGATTGCAAGCAAACCACAGACTATAAATGGGAACCCTTCACCGATTAGAAAGGGGGAGCAGCTGTTGTACTGCAGCCATTATCTGTATCTTTTTTTTCCCCCTACTTGGTGAATCACTGACCCAGAACAAGAATCTACATATTAAGTGTACCAACACCTGATATGCATAGGTGTGTTTCAGGTCAATGACTTTCCAAGTACTGAACGAAGATGACAGCCCTGAGCCTACATCTTCAAATTCAAGTCAGCAATGACAACACAGACACTTGATTCCAACCTACAAGCCCCACATATGCCACGTTCCATTCCATAAGTTATATAAAACAGAGAAAGATCTCCTGCCCACTTAAAGATAAACTCCAGGCATAACAACTTATTTTAAATATATTCCTCAAAACCCAAAACTGATATCAATCTATTGTGTGTGCACCAAATGCCTCTGCACACCTAGCTTTTACCTTGTAAAAGTATCGGTGACATCATCAGTGTGCTGCCCATAGCCTGTGCTGTGAACAAAGCTGTGGGAGGAGTCCAACAACTCCACCCACTACAGGTTGTCTGCATAAAACTACAGGAGGGGACGGAGACAAGTCCAGCCCCACTGCACGAAGAGAAAGAGCAACAGTGACTGTTCTTTATTAGAGGAAGCTCCTATGCCCTATGCCCAGCCAAGCTTGAATAGATGCCCAGCCAAGCTTGAATTCTGTTTTAACACCTCTCTCTGGGCAGGTCATTAACACCTCCTAACTCCAATTATGCAAATGAACTCAACACCTGGTGGCGACTAACAGATTATGTGGATTGGAGCAACATTCACCATATTTAATCCCAGATTAATAAATCTTTCTGAATTGAGAAAACTGGTTGGATAACCAAATGTCCTCAAGAAAAATACAACAAGTCCAGTTGCCTTGACTTATTTTTTACAGCTACGCCCTTCAGTTCTCTGCAAGGGAGAAAATGGTATCAGGGCAGGGGATAACTAGAGATGGACACCAAAGCAGTCATAAGAATGCAAGGTTAGCAAAAATCAAACTAAAGGGAGGGAAGGCAGGAAACCGATTCCTACAACTACTATTATATTTACCAGAGTTGCCCCAGGAAATCTGCCATGCACAGTGGGCATGATAATATGCAAATGAAGGTAATATGTGGCATGGTATTATGTGGCAGAACTTATTCTAAACTGTCTGTTCTGGGCACAAAATCCCTAGTTAGATCTTTGTACTGTGATAGCGAATGTAGAATTTCGGTTTTGTTTTCCTCTAAGTACAGAGTCTTAAGCATCAGAACACTAATCTAGGTTTTTAGAGTCATACAAAAGTTGAAGAAAGAAGTGTTCGAGGACAGATAAGTTACATTGTTAAATGCTACAGGAAACTTTCTGTAGACTATCATTACTGTGTTGTGTTAGATAAATATGATTACATAGAGCATCCATTCTGTGTATGTAGGAGACCTGAGAGATTAAAAAAGAGATAACTTACAGAGACTTTAAATGGAGAGGTGTTGGTAGGGTCCATGGAGCTAGCCTTGTCGGATGTGCTGGTTCCTGATATACTTCTCCTTCGTGGCGACCTCTCGGCTGGCACCTCTGTACAGATTAAGAACAAAAAATACCTGACATGAGAACGAAGAAAGGAAAATACCTGACATGAGGTCAGCAGAAAAAAAAACAATATCAAGGAAAAAAACAAAAACCCACTCCATTCTCTAACCAGAACAAACAGGGCAGCTTGTCAAACAATAACAAGCATCTTTTTGTTTAAGCTTCTTGTGTGAAAAGATAATTGCTCTTTAGATTTCACAGTTGGGCTCCTCGAGGCAGACAAAATAAAAAGAATGAACTCTGCAGACAGTGAAGCATATACATTCTAAGCATTCGTCTCTGGGAGCGGATTAGGATAGAGTAGTTGAACAGTTGAATTCCATTGCACGTTGAACAGGTGAATTCCATTGACAAGACAATATGCTTTACAAGATAAACAGATTGCAATCTACACATTACTCAGACACAATTATAAATACACCAGCACAAAAATCACATTTGGCTTTAATGCAGGACTGGATTATTTACATAGAATTTAGGAGAGAAGCAGTTTAATCCCAGAGCCTACAGGAACTTTTGAGGAGTCCACAAAGGCTCAAAAAAAAGACTACCCGGCTGCTGACTCTTGACCAGACTCAATTCGATAGAAAACTATAGTAAGAGGTAAACAACATAAGATTAGACAACCAGCCCAAAAACGTGGTAAGAGAAGGCAAGGCTTGCTTTGTCTTAATACTAATTAGGACAACGTCTGCAGCCCAGGGCCATGTATAAGCCTGGTCTTAAATGCCCATCTCTCTGACAGCCAGTCTGCATTCAAGCTATCAGCGCAGGTCACAAAGTTCCACATTAGCCAGAGATTGCCCCTTCTACATACTGCTACAGGTTTATATTGCCTTCTTACTGTTCTGCAACTATAGAAGTGCTTTTAAAGTAACTTTGGGTTTAAAATGCAGCACCCCATGTTAATTCTTTTTTTTAATACAAGTTGTAAACTATATTTTAATTAATATTAGCAACTTTTTTGGCATCCGTGCTTTTCTGGCTCTAGTATAGTATATAGACTATGAATTAAACTCGTTCACTGAATTCTGTTTATTTAGTGTAAACGTCAGGTTTGCAGGACATCTTGACAACATAAACCATTATCAGTTTACAGTGGGAAGGCAAGTAAAACGTGATTTGTAATTGGTTGCTGTGTGTTCCTGTGCATCTTTGGCCTCTGAACTTTGTTAAAAAAGGCCAAATATATCACCCGTGACTAAAAAAGTTCAACAATACTAATAAAAGAATAAATCAATCCACTCTAAAGTATCAACAAGCGTTTGGAAGAAACATGGGAGCAGGTCTACTGACAGCGAAAGACTCAAAAGTTAGGTGCCAAATTACAGGAATGTTTAGAATGGTGACAATTTCGTTAATTAATGAAGCAGATTTTGCAAACTGTGGAAAGTATAATAACGGTGTCAATAGAGCTGATTTACTAAAAGATTAGAAGCTGTTTGCTCTGCAAAGTAAATGTTAATGAATAAGACGAAGCTGTGTTTACGTTGAACAACCAATCATGTGCTAGTAAAAATCTTGCACATGATTGGGTATTCAAAGTGGACATGGGACCACCTGATTTACTAGTATTTACTTTGCTAGGTAAAACGCTTCTATTCCTTAAGCAAATTAATCCCATGTCTGTTTCACTGCAGATCATCAGTGGGTTAAAAGAGCAGATCTGAATCCGAGCAGATGTTTTAAAAATCAAGAATATAAAATGAAAACAACACATTCTTTGCATATACCTTTATCGCAAGTGCTACCCATCTCCACTTCAAAGCCTGGGCAGAGTCCAACTTCTGAGACGCAACCAAGAATCCCACACATGGATCTACATCCTATGCAGTGCTGCACTGGCTTTCAGAAATGCCGGAGTAATCGCAGAGGCTGTGCAGCCTGGCACAGCCCGCTCTTCTCGGGAAACTGGCGCAGCAAAGACGAACAATCCTGGCCTTTTGGCCCAGGGGATCCGTGCTACTTCCAATTCTGAAAGGAGCTGGATCTGATCCTGCCGCTCTCCCCCTCCCCTGGCAGTGTGCAGAGAGCAAGGAGATACACACAGACGACTGCAGATATTCAATCAATTGCCTCAACAGCACATCCTCATTAGATATCAAGCTATTTACAGATGCCGAAGCACTCTGGCGTTTATTCAGAGAAAGTGTCATCAGTGCGCCTCAACCCGTGCAAACAAGAAACACATACTGAAAAGTGCTGCTGACCTGTGCCAATGCAGAACTGCCAGTACACCACCAAAAAGGCTTAAAACATCCAGAATCAAGCTCTTCCCACCAAGGAGATAAAACCCCAGACAAGATCTCTAGATTACAGACAACCCTTTAAAATCAATACTGACACAAAAGGCCTAAAAACAGTCATTTGCAATATCCAACTTGGTTTGGAGGAAGAGGATCAGGATAATGAATAAAAGCAAAATCAGCATAAATTTTGATTTTTAAAGGTTCCACGTGTTCTGCAGCAGTGTACATTGTGAGGGCATATGGGGACTACAGCAAAAGATTACATAACACCTAAACAAGTAAAACATGGACTCTGCACAAAAAAGCTTACCAATAAAAAAAACACACAAAAAAAGCTCAATAAGAATGGAAAAGTCAACAACAACAAAAACAACTTTGAAACTTCAGTAATGCAAATAGTTTAGCTGACAACTGTTAATTCATTCTTAAACTAAATTACTATCGATTAAAAAAAAAAAAAGTTAACATTTTCATGGTAAACGTCTTTGTCAATTAAAATATAAAAGACAATAAAAAAAGTGTTGAGACAAATTTCTGAAGAAGCAACAAAGATACAAGATTCTCCCCAGAAGTTAAAGCATTTCAGTTTTGGAATGGAAAGAAAAAGTTTTGATCTGAGCAGGTTATGAATACCACAATAGTCCTTTTTTTCCTCCTTTTAATATTCCACGATAATTGCCTCCTCTGCAAAATTACAGCTCACTCAGCAGTCAGAAAAAGGACTGTTTGTTAACGTGAAGGTACGGCCATAGATTGTACATTTGGAGCTGGCACTGAAACTCTTCCTCCTCCTCCATCATTATAACTGGACCTCTCTCAAGTTTTTTTTCTTCCCAGCAGCAGTGGGAGAAACAGGGTTGGAGTCACCTTGCAAAATAGCGGTGAGATTCCCCCAGTGTCATTGCTACGTGTTCTCTCTCTCTCTCTCTCTCCGAGACGTCAGCCTGAGGTCGCACACTGTGGATCTTATCCCATCCAAAGCCACAGGGAAAGTTGTAGCAAGGTCCGAGAGGCGGGCTGCAGGTCTGTCAAGCCGAGTTAGTAATCTCTACCTCTGCTCCTCCAAAATTAGACGTCTTTCTTCCCCCAGCATGCTACACACTACTGTTGCATTATCACCTGCTGCAAAATCAATGCAGCTCTCCTTTGCTAATGGTTCCCATCTCATGCTTTCCCTGGACTAAGTGCAGATGACAAATCATAACAGTCATCCAATAAACAGAAATGAGGTCTAATAAAAAAGTAAAAAAAAGATTGCATTAAGAGGCAGTGAGCCTGGCGTTTGTAGCATAGGAAGGAGCTATGGCAAGGTTCACCTCCTGCACATGTTTTATAAGCAACAGTACAGCAAACATGATCTTTAGAGTAACCAAAACCCAGAGTCAGAGTCAGCAAACGGATGTGGGTAGGAGCTGGGGAAAAAAAAAATCTCCCTGAGATAAGTCACAGCAAAAGTCTCGTCAGAGATGCTCTGGAAAGTCGCCCATCTAGTTTGACGGCTGTAAGGGAATTTGGAGTATTTTTATGTTCTGCCTGTGTGTGGGTATACCGAACACACAGGCAATAAAAAGTGTTGACTAGCTAAGCAAGCTATCAGGGGAAACCAGAACAACATCTGTCTACCACAAAAAGTGTAAATCAGTGCTAGCCTAAGATTACAAGAGACGGGGAAGGCATTATTCATAAATCAGGTTTCCACAATGGCTGCTTGACATTTACTAAGCCGCTAAAGCGATCAGGCAAGGTGATCAAAGGATCTTGTAACAGAGATATACATGTAAAGGTTTTGGCATGTATATTAGCTCTGATGACCAATAGGTGCTGCAATATGAATACAGGAGAAACATCCACACTGAACAAACAACTTATCCAGGTAAAAGGGGTTATCTATCCAATCAATATATAAATTCTCTTCTCCTTCTATCTATAGCACCATCGACCAATCAGATTATCCCCTTTAACTGACAAAATCCAACTTAATCTTGATCGATAGGCAAAATCAATTGTGATTATCAAGCATAAGGGAAGACGTCTGCTTTGAGACCAAATACTTTATCTCTGATAGATTAAGATATAGCAAGACTGCAACATTTTACCAATAAACAGTTGAGACTGGGAAAATAATTATAAAGAAAGCCTTTCATTAGACATTTTATAGATTCGGTCCTAAGATTCCTACATTGTGCCAAGATACATATGCAGATGAACACATTTAAAGTGGATGTGTAGCCAAAACCTTTTTTTTTTTTTTAAAGTATTGGATAGAGTAGAACAAGGTTAAAAGAAACTCCTTCCAAGTGATTTGTTGTGGTATGTGTACCAGTGAGCAAAACTCCACTGGCTTCCTCTCCCAGAGATGCAAGGGAATGTTAATGGAAATCTTCAAAAGGTGAGGGAAATTCCACTCTCTGACGGTTCTGGGAACATGTGTCCCCAGTAGATGTCCCCTTACCCCTGGTTTTAGGGTCAATGCTAACAGTCCAAAACTTAAAGTGACACTAAACTCAGGAGTTAAATCTTAAAAAAACACCCAAGTACCTTAACTCTTAACAAGAATGCATCTTATTTGTGTATCATTCAGCTGTAGATCCTCAAATCATCTCTGAATTGATGCCGTCACTGTCTTTCCTTCTGGAGGGTGGCTACTTTTGTTTCCCATGGTCCCTGTGTGTGTTGTAAAGTAGCCACCAGTCCAAGTTCCCTTCTGTGATGGACTAAAATCTCAATACAAGTTAG